AAAAATGTGTAAGTGTTCAATAATTCAATGTTGTATATGAAAAAAAGTTATTTATATTTTAACATTATATTATGCATTTATATTATTTTACGAACAAATCTAAATTAACATATAAAAATTTTTTTTTTTTTAATGTAGTGAAACAATTTTGCGTCGAGATGACGTAATGACGTCATCACGCAATGACATCACAATGTCATTTAGCAACTTTTAGCAACAAATCGAACTTCCTTTAGCAACTTCCCCTGAAAATTAGTTGGCAACACTGCGTTTACTTACTTGCGCAAGGAGTCTGGCTGGCTGGAATCTGGCCCTGTATGTGAACGCCCACAAACAACAGGAGAAGGATCGATAGCCTCATCATCCTCATTCTCCTTCCTAAACAGACAAGCAAACATGATGTGTTAACCATGATCAAAACACAACATGCTCAGAATACCACTGGAGCCAGCGATTCATCAACAGTCTGTAGAATAAGACCTTGTACATGATTCTGAATGTTGTTGAATGGCAACAGAGCTGTTCAGTTTGTATTAGCATTTTGTTTCATGAAATTAATCTTTTTTTAATGGAGCTTTAAGGTTTGAGTAAAATAAGGGCTGTAGTTAGCATTACTTGAAGAGGCTTTCATGTTTTGTTCTACAGCATAAATTACACACAGTTCTATCTCAAACTTCAATTTCGAAGTTTTTTTAATGCAAGTTGCTATCAAGTTGCTAAATACTGCCTACAATAACCACAAAGATGTGTGTTTACATGCTTGACGAATCAGACAACCATTCTTCAAATCACAGTTTGTAATGTTGTCATTCACCTCGTAGCTGGCTGGATTGGTTCACGACTTATAACTCTTAAGTTATAAAGTTAAGTTCGTTCTCAACTTTTAAAAAAAATCACTTTAAGAAAAGTGAATGGTAAACAACTACTCGTGCTTTCGGGACCAAGGCAACTGGAAAAAATGGGCAGGCACTGTTGCTCTCTATTAGCTTAAAATAAGGGTGTGGCTTAGCTACCCGGAAGTTGTTTCCATAATAATTCTCCAAGATTGTAGGACTTTTCACTGTGTAGTTTCAATTGAATTAATAAAGTTTCTCACTGTTATTATTCATGTGTGACTTATTGTCCAGACTGCTGCTGAAACACCAAACAGATGCAACTGTTACTTTTCAAAGCACTAGTCAAAATGGACCAATAACGGTCTTTGCACGGTCTTTCTTTACTGTATAAAGATTTTAAAAAATAATGATAATTTCATATAGATTGTGGGGGTGGATTTTCATCCACATGTCAGATATCAATTACTGGAATTAATGGATTTAAAAACAATTGTACAGGTTAATATATCAAATGTGTCCAATAAGACAAAAGTTACTTTCTGAGCCCCCATCCGTCCCCTAAAGTAAGATTGCTTTTGTATCAGAGGAAACAGTTATTTGTTGCTCTATGTTCGAAACAGATATTCCGTTCAACTAATCTGAGGTCATATTCTCTCTAGACCTCATCTCACTTTGTCAGATGCCAATTCATACACTGAAAAAAATGAATTTACAAAAATGTTTTAAGGTAAGTGGTTGCAATCAATTTATTTTAGCTACATTTAAATAAACAAATTTAGTTGAGTAACTTTCAATATATATATTTTTTTTAAATGTAGCTAAAATAAATTGTTTGCAACCACTTATTTTTTTTTAATGTAGTGAAACAATTTTGCGTCGAGATGACGTAATGACGTCATCACGCAATGACATCACAATGTCATTTAGCAACTTTTAGCAACAAATCGAACTTCCTTTAGCAACTTCCCCTGAAAATTAGTTGGCAACACTGCGTTTACTTACTTGCGCAAGGAGTCTGGCTGGCTGGAATCTGGCCCTGTATGTGAACGCCCACAAACAACAGGAGAAGGATCGATAGCCTCATCATCCTCATTCTCCTTCCTAAACAGACAAGCAAACATGATGTGTTAACCATGATCAAAACACAACATGCTCAGAATACCACTGGAGCCAGCGATTCATCAACAGTCTGTAGAATAAGACCTTGTACATGATTCTGAATGTTGTTGAATGGCAACAGAGCTGTTCAGTTTGTATTAGCATTTTGTTTCATGAAATTAATCTTTTTTTAATGGAGCTTTAAGGTTTGAGTAAAATAAGGGCTGTAGTTAGCATTACTTGAAGAGGCTTTCATGTTTTGTTCTACAGCATAAATTACACACAGTTCTATCTCAAACTTCAATTTCGAAGTTTTTTTAATGCAAGTTGCTATCAAGTTGCTAAATACTGCCTACAATAACCACAAAGATGTGTGTTTACATGCTTGACGAATCAGACAACCATTCTTCAAATCAAAGTTTGTAATGTTGTCATTCACCTCGTAGCTGGCTGGATTGGTTCACGACTTATAACTCTTAAGTTATAAAGTTAAGTTCGTTCTCAACTTTTAAAAAAAATCACTTTAAGAAAAGTGAATGGTAAACAACTACTCGTGCTTTCGGGACCAAGGCAACTGGAAAAAATGGGCAGGCACTGTTGCTCTCTATTAGCTTAAAATAAGGGTGTGGCTTAGCTACCCGGAAGTTGTTTCCATAATAATTCTCCAAGATTGTAGGACTTTTCACTGTGTAGTTTCAATTGAATTAATAAAGTTTCTCACTGTTATTATTCATGTGTGACTTATTGTCCAGACTGCTGCTGAAACACCAAACAGATGCAACTGTTACTTTTCAAAGCACTAGTCAAAATGGACCAATAACGGTCTTTGCACGGTCTTTCTTTACTGTATAAAGATTTTAAAAAATAATGATAATTTCATATAGATTGTGGGGGTGGATTTTCATCCACATGTCAGATATCAATTACTGGAATTAATGGATTTAAAAACAATTGTACAGGTTAATATATCAAATGTGTCCAATAAGACAAAAGTTACTTTCTGAGCCCCCATCCGTCCCCTAAAGTAAGATTGCTTTTGTATCAGAGGAAACAGTTATTTGTTGCTCTATGTTCGAAACAGATATTCCGTTCAACTAATCTGAGGTCATATTCTCTCTAGACCTCATCTCACTTTGTCAGATGCCAATTCATACACTGAAAAAAATGAATTTACAAAAATGTTTTAAGGTAAGTGGTTGCAATCAATTTATTTTAGCTACATTTAAATAAACAAATTTAGTTGAGTAACTTTCAATATATATATATTTTTTAAATGTAGCTAAAATAAATTGTTTGCAACCACTTACCTTAAAAAAGTGTAGTATCATTTTTTTCAGTGTAGCCTACTAACTATTACTATTATAAGCATCTTCCATCAAACCAGCTGATTCAAAAAAGGGTTCATCTGAAGCAATACTAAAGAATTAGTAAGGTTTTACTAGCATTTTGTATTTGTAACCATTATCTCAGCTAGGCCTTCGTGTTTATTAAAATTAGCTGAAATAAAATGCAGCAAATCAGAAATATGGCCTTTTGCCACAAACACCTTGTTATTCCAGCTTACATTCAATCAGCACAGGTGATCCAATGACATGATGAATTACTAAATAATTATAATGCAAATATTATATATGCACTACTCAAGAAAAGTTTCGTTATTTTACCTTTTATTACATTAGGTTTAAAGGTTGTTTGTTTATCATACTGATTACACCATAACTGTAGATATGTAGATCTAATGTAGGCCCATTAGACAATATACAGTATATGATATACAATATACTGTAAACTCATGCGTCTTCCCATCATAAACAAATAAGCTTTACAATCAATCAAAAAGTTCAGCAGCACGCATATGTGACATATAGGACGAACTACGACATTAAATACCACGAGTTTTGAAATCACACATAATTCAAAACCGTCTGTTCTTTTTACTAAATTGTTTTTCAGCAAATATAAGCAGCAGGTGAGAATTTACAGATTATTGAATAACCGAACAATGTGCAGCTAAGTGATAGCGTAAGTGCCTGAGCATTTCCAAACTAAAGCTCTTCAGAGACAGAAACGCACTGCCGAAGTTATGCAAAAGTAAGTCTTCACTTACTCACCCAAGATCAGAAAATCTGAAGAACTTTTCGAGTGCTGATTTATGTTTAGAGTTATCAAAGATACATTCCGAAGTAGGTAAAGCAGGAACCAGAATAAAGTGCCAAATAAAGGGAGTGAGTGAGAAGCCAAGCTGCAGGAGAAGTTTCCTCTGCGCTTCTCCCAGCTTGAACAGAAGTCTCTCCTCCCTCCTTCATCAGCGCTAAGGCAACCGAGTATCTGTGCACTGCCTTTTCTGCTCGCATGGCGGCGCTGTGCATCCACACTGATGGACTACACTCCCAATCCTCCCGATTTTTGATGGCTATCTGGTGATAAGAGGAGGGGGTGTATGGATCATCCACACATGTTCACAAAGACCGGAGTGAGGACATCTTATTGAAATATAATGATTTTTTTCTTTAAACGTAGCCTATGTGCTGAATTAATAGCAGGAATGCTCACATGGCCTTTCTTCTGTGGAAGTGCGTTAATGAAACGCACATGGCAGAAGTTGTCAGCAAAATGACCATAGTTCATTTTCAAAGAAAACAAGAGTTATGGCATCTTTTTTTTCTTCTAGAGTTGTCTAGAGAATGCGTGGGGAAATTACTGCCAGATGTTATCAATAAAGACATTAGGCTATACTCTGTGCTCATTTGGAGAGTTTAAATGAATCACATTGAATCCATCACACACAAAACATTTATATATTTTATATGTGTGTGTGTGTGTGTCACATACATATATAGGCCTATATGTAAAGAAAAATACGCATATTTTTAAACCATTAAAATTCTGTATTCACAAAATAATTTTCATAATAATTAAGCACATTTTCCCCTTATAAACACTGCACCTAACGCATGTATTTATGTAGTTATGTATTTATTTAATTCACATTATTTTCAGTGTATAAGTACTTTACCGTTCGAATATATCACTTTTTTATATTACGGTAATGAGAATGAGATGGTTTTGCATTACAGTAATGAGAATTTGTGCTTAATCATCATGACAATAATGTCACAATTTTACTGGTCATAAAAATGGGCTTAATGTTCATATGCAAGATATACTTTCTTATTTCTTTTTTGTTGTTTTAGGCAGAAAATATGACCTGGACATGCTCTCAAGAGGCTTCATGAGCTTCGCCAAGTTTTTTTTTTTTTTTTTTTCTCAGTCATTCTGTGTCCATGGTTAGGCCTACAGCCATAGTCGTTTCCTTAGTCAATTACACAGCTAAGCATAACAAATTATTTCCAATTGTAGGCATGTGACAGAGCGCGCACCAGTCACGACTGACAAGAGTTACTCCACTGAGTCACCTTCACCAAATGATATCTACATATACATTCATATTCCAGTAAACTCTCCCTTAAACATGAGTACATACACGCCCAGCAAATGCACACTTAACTGACTCCTGCTGAACTCTATGCTAGCATTGAAGCACACAAGACAACTGTAAACCCCGAAAGCATACAATCATATGGCACCACATGAGCAGAAGAAATTACTGATCATCTCATCATGCCGGCTTTATGCCATTTGTCCTGTACTGCCAGGTGTGGAGAAACGGGGTGGCTGAATTTGGGACTTCCCAAGTGTGGAGAGAAAGAAAGGCGAACAAAAGAGTGAGAGAGAAAATAGAAAGAATATCTTCTACATCCTTTCCAAAGTTCCACAGAATTTCATATCACTTGCACAAATATCCCCATGAACCCAGGTTACATAAGACAGAAAAGCAGCACAGGAAGCCCTTTAAATTCCACAAGACAACTGTAAACCCCGAAAGCATACAATCATATGGCACCACATGAGCAGAAGAAATTACTGATCATCTCATCATGCCGGCTTTATGCCATTTGTCCTGTACTGCCAGGTGTGGAGAAACGGGGTGGCTGAATTTGGGACTTCCCAAGTGTGGAGAGAAAGAAAGGCGAACAAAAGAGTGAGAGAGAAAATAGAAAGAATATCTTCTACATCCTTTCCAAAGTTCCACAGAATTTCATATCACTTGCACAAATATCCCCATGAACCCAGGTTACATAAGACAGAAAAGCAGCACAGGAAGCCCTTTAAATTCCAAATGTAGGAGGAAGAGCGAGGGAAGACATAAATATATACTGTAATAAATTATTTGACATCAAATGGGCTATAATATACAGGAAATGTGATTGGTACTTGCATGCAAAATTCAACACCATGATGCTAGTGCCCCAGCTAACAGGAAGCGTTCTCAGAACAGTGAATAATGTTCTGGCAAGGTTCTCTCTAAGTTATGAACAAACGTTCTTCCAGTAATGTTAATAGAATGTTTATCTAAAGTTATCTGTTTTTTAACAATATTCACAAAATATGCACAAAAACATTATTTATATTTTGTTCATGGAAAGTTCAGCTAACATTTTTTAAATGTACCTATCAACTTGTTTCAGAATGTTTACAGAAAATTCAAAAGTAACGTTCCAATAGCTTTTGCAAACTGATAAAAATGTACCCTTAATGTTTGCATAATCAAACGTTATGAGAACGTTAGTAAAACATTCTTAGAACATATTTTTGTTAGCTTGGGCAATGCTATGCAGTTGTTAGGGTGTTCTCAGTGGTTGCTAGGGTGTCAAAGAAGTTCCTAGCTAGTGTCTCACCTTCAGTGTTAGTTAATGGGATTTCTCACCTGTTTTTCTGCACTCTTGCACACTGTTTATGATGAATAGTATGCGAATTGGGATGCAGGGTTTCCAATCTGATTCACATGTTCAATCTTGTGCATTAGATTAGCCAAAAATGTAAAATGTTCCGAACTGGAGCAAGATTGATAAACATAGCTCTGTGAAACAGCTTTGACTCCCTCATCTAATTAGCTTAAACATTTCTCTGGACAAAAAATTCTGACTTGACAAAAATTCAGATGTCAAGCGCCTGTGTGAAGAGAAATGAGGCAGCATCAATGCACTGTGGAGTTAGCAGAGAGGAAGCACTATTTCAGCTCAACTTCTGCAGAGCAGTCCTTGTGAAACAGCGATGGGTTTGTATTTTTTCCCTTGTTTCTTGGCAGCGCTTGCATATTTCCTTAATAAGGAGAGAAAGGGATGGAGGAGGAAAAAGGGGGATGGAAGGGGTCTAAATGAGGGGGGACCGAGTCTGTTCTGTCTCAGAGGCATGGATGACTAATACTACAAGAATGATTCCACACTTCCCTCCAGTTACAAGCTCAAAAACTACTTACTCCACTACATCAAGACCCTGCTGAACAACTCTGCTACAGAATAACCCATACATATCACGTTTTGTAAACTCATCAGCTGTTTTTGGAAGTCCATTTCTGCCACATAAGAAAATAAAAGTAAAACATAAAAGTCAAAATTATAACAAATCAAAATGATCAAAAGACATAATTATGACATTATAAGCCCAAAATATGAGATACTAAGTCAGAACTATGAGATGCAAAGCTGAAATTACAGCATAACAATCAAAATTATCATATTAAAGTCATAATTATGACAAAAAGTTGAAACTGACAAGAAAGTAAAATTATGAGATAAAAATTCAATTATGACAGTGTAAAACTTATTAGAAAAAGTAAATTTGGACAATTATCACATGAAAAATCAAAATTATGACAAAGTTAAAATTGGGCAATTAAAAATGTATTATAACATGTCAAAATTGTCATAAAAATAGTTTTTACAGAAGTCGAAGTTATAACATAAAAAAGTCACAATTATGAGATAAGGTCATGACATAAAAAAGTATATATTATTAGATAAATTATGAGACATAAAACAATTATGAGATAAAGTAATTATGACCAACTCTTACAGACTCAATTCTTAATTTTTATCTCATAATTATGACTTATGTCATAATTATGTTTAACCAAAGCATGGTTTTTGTTTCATGTGGCGGAAATAGTTTCCATACAACTCCATATTAGTTAATTAGTTAATTAAACTGAAAATTGGACTCCTGTCTGTAATTCTGAAGAACTCACAAGAACTCTTTCTTCTGAAATTGGATTTTCCTGCTTGTGTGCAACTGAAAAAATTAAAGGTTAAATTGGGGCAAATATAAAAAAAAAAGTGGCATGAGAAACCCTCAGAATATGTGTGCGTGCCATAGGTCCTCTCATCACAGAATCATGGTGCCCTATCTTTGAATCCAGAGCTCCACTGAAATCTTGGAATTAGCAGCAGAACCAATTTCCTTTCAAATGAAACCACAGGTTTAGAAAAATGGAAGCACAACAAAAAAGAATATTGTAATTTTAGTGCACTCCCGCTTACTGTGCAGATCTGTTTTTAATAAAACCAAGGCGTAGCAGCCCAATCATAGTTTACCATGACATTTAGCTTAAGATAACATTTAGTCTGCTTTTCAAAACCAGATATGTGATATTGCAATTGGCATATGGTGCTATTCACGATTTTCCCATGTTTTATAGTCAGCAAAACCTGCTACGTAATGCTCCCTTGTTCTCCCTAATCAATGATTCGTGCTAGACAGACCTTCAGAACAGTGAATCCCTTTGAGAGCATGGGCTTGCCCTCAACAGGGAAATATTGCCTCAATGGGAACATAGAGTGAAACATATTCACAGAATATTCCTTATTTAAGTGTACAGTGTGTTGACGGTTCCATTGAGTCATCTACTTGTGTATTGTAAATACAGTGTGGTTTGTTTGTCGGTTGGGCTGCGCACACATCTGTGCCAAGTTAAACAGAGGAGGGATGAATTTGTAAACCGTCATTTGATGAGGCGCTTTAACCGATGTTTTGGCTGGTGCAGGTGCAGATCGGAAGAAGACATTCATTACTCATTTGCTGATGTTTGTCTATAAGGCAGGTTGATTTTTAGTTGTGAGCTTTAATTAGTCTTTGGAGTTGGTGCAAACACTCACGTTTCTCAGCGGGTGGCCTTTAGCCTTGACAGTGTCCAATGATCTTCTTCTCAAACTGAAGAACAAGACTATTGTCCTGCTCAGATATAACGACTGCTGACTGTATCCTAGTGACTGTGTCACCAAAATAGTTATGAAATAGAAATGAAAATAGAAATGCAAATTTCAGATTTAAGACTTGGTTCTCCTTCAGTTTACAAGTTCACATTTGATTTAAATTGGCTCACGGGAAGTGGAATTGGGAAATCTGGAAGTACTTTTCCCGTTCATTTTTCCCATTCAAAG